ATAGATAGATAGATAGATAGATAGATAGATAGATAGATAGATAGATAGATAGATAGATAGATAGATAGATAGATAGATAGATAGATAGATAGATAGATAGATAGATAGATAGATAGATAGATAGATAGATAGATAGATAGATAGATAGATAGATGGATTTTATACATTAATTATTGGAATATCTATATATTGATCTCAGTAACACCTCACCATTTCTTTTCCGCATTTTCAGACATGGATTCGATTCATTGTGAGCAACCAAACCAATCTTCCAGTTCCAGCCGCGTCGTTTTTGCTGGAAAAAGCGAAAGGTTTAGAATTTGTTAAACAGAAAAACTATAAAAGTTCTATCCTACACAATGCTCGGGCAGCTGAATTCGCAAAAGAAGGAAATAAGCATCTGCTTATAACGACCTTCAAAGATTTGGTTTTTTTACATATTGAATTAAAAGAATACACCGAAGCAACACAGTATTCAGACAAAATCATAGAAGTAGCCAAAGATATCAATTCCAAGAAAGAGGAATACCGTGGATATATATTAAAAGGTGCGATCTATGGAATGTACATGGGTGAATACCAATCCTCCTTGTTAGCTTTTAATGAAGCTTTGCGAATCTCGAACGATTGCATTGAAATCTCGAGCCGTGCATCTTTTTACCTGGAAAGAGTACAGAGTTTTAATTATTACATGAAGAACGATCTACAAGCTGCAGTTTTGCATGCGAGGAAAGCAGTTGAACTTTTCACACTAGAAAACAAATATCCACTCTTAGATATTTTACAAGATTTGGCTGTATGGCATTTTGACCTAAAGAATTTCTGTGAAGCAATACAATATTCAGACAAAGTCATAGAAGTAGCCAAAGATATCAATGACAAGGGATGGGAATCCCGTGGATATAAACTAAAAGGTGAGATCTTGACTATGGTATCTTTTTGGGCGAATGCCAATCCTCAATCCTCGCTGTCGGTTTTGAATGAAGCTCTGAGAATCTCTATAACGAGAACGATTTGTTACGGTAAGATTTTTGTTCGTGTTTCACCGAATGTCGGGGCGGACTAGCTTTGGTAGTAACGATTTAAATTACCCTACGAGACGGCACGACACTTGGAAACAGAGCACGGAGTAAACTTCACTGTAAATATTGCTTTAATATCTTCAGTACGTAGTTAGCACTCGCTAGGTGGTCTCTGATTTTACAATGTATTTTAGCTTAATCTATATGTATATGATTAGGGACGGACCATTAGATTAGGGGTCAATTTTGGGCTCGAATTTTTTTTACCAACATGGGTGAGCAAAAATTTTATTTACACATGACTTGCTTGCAGGATTATTTTTGTTTTGTTTCAAACTTTTAATATATGACTTTTTTAAATGTTTTTCTCTTCAGAATTGTTGAACTATTTCATTAGTCTGATTTCAAGTTATTGCTTTAACACATTATATGTCAATAAAATATGCCAGAAAATGCATGGACTATAGCCCTCCAAATTAATTATTTTGGAAGAAAAGACATAGACTGTGTAGCTAGCCTGCAAAAATGGTTAAAAATGACCGACTTTTGATGAAAATGCATTGAAAATACATTGCCCTCTGAAATCATAACAATATCTCCCACACGTATGGGGGATTCTTCTTTGAACCACTTGTTTCTAACATTGAGCCGATGAAGATATTCTTTCTACCAACGTCCCCAGTATTGATTCAGTGATCTAAGTAGGTACAAATATCTTCCAATAGCTTTATTACTTGGGTCCTTTGAGTGGTCTTCTAGATCTTTTGGTATGCTGGTCGTCCAATGGCCAGATGAGCTGGAGTAATAGGTACAAGATCTCTTGGGTCATCGCTGACAGCAGTTAAAGGTCGAGAATTTACAACACTTTCTATCTTGATAAGCAACGTATTCAACTCTGAATAGGTAACGAGGGCTTTACCAAGAATCTTCTTTAACTGATCTGACCATCCGTTCCCACCAGCCACCGCTGGTCATCTGTAGTTAAGCTAAGGGTGAGTTCAAGGTGAATAATACGGGATGATGCACAGGTAAAAATGCAAACATAAGACTTCTTTGTATCGGAGCCCTCTTTGATGTAAAGAGGACCTGCGAAGTCAATTCCAATATGCGTGAACGGTAACGATGGCGTGACTCTTTCTGCTGGTAAGGGTCCCATTTTCTGTGTACAGGCTTTGACTTTCTGCTTTTGCCATGTAATGCATCGTCTGATGATACGTTTAACTTCTTTTCTTCCTTGAGTGAGCCAGAACGTTTGTCCTAAAGATGACAACACTGCTTTTGGTCCAGCGTGCAATAACTGTTTATGCGTGTCTAGTTCACATGGCCAGAAATTCCGGACATTTGAGCCCGGGACGAGTCAGCGGGTTATCCCACCAAAATAGAGCTTTCTACAAGTTCCCTTGACAAGGTTTGAACTTTTGAAGATCAAATTTTCTACTCTTGTGCAACGATCCTTTATCCTAATACAATACTGGGTTAAAATAGAAACGTTCAAAACATCGACAAACGAGTATTTAGATAGCACGCCCTAATCCTTGAGTTCATAGTGGCTTGTGAGGTGCTCGTTTGGGATGTTCATAGTGTAAATAATATTATTTGCTGGAACACACGTTTGCCTCAGGTATTTTAAACAATGATCATCAGTTGATATTGTGATCTTTTGTTTATACTTGTACATTTCTAAGGAATTGGTCTGACATTGTTTACACTAAATAGCGTAGACTTGATTGGTCTATCTTTCGTTCGTATTTCCCGCTATTTACCAGTGCGCGCAAGGCGACAGTAAAAACCTCAAAAATAAAAGCACTCCCAGTCTGAAAGCCACGTTTCTAAGGTTTATTTTGGTACCAAACATGGCGAATAAAATGGAAAGAAAATGGAAGATCGAGGCCAATTATTCGCGTGAACCACGAGTCTTCGCCAGCCATTTTACCGTCAAAATAGTGTTTTCAAATTGTACTATTTCTAGTACCAAAAAGGACGCTGTTTATCGTCTTCAAAATAGCTGAAAATCGCTGTGTTTCTACCTCAATATATGGACTTCGAGAAATGATCTTTGAAATATCAGTGACATGTAAAGAAACACGATCAGCTGAGATACAAGGTCAAAGGAGACTTCGAAAGGAAAATAAATGTCAAAAAGGACGCTCTTAACAATATTGTATTTATTTGGATCTCCTACAGTGGAATCAAGAATAGTTTCCCTCTAGGAATTCATCTTGGAAAACTTTCCAGGTAAAACAGATGAAATGTTATTCTCAAATAATTTTTTGGATCCGTACATTTCTTTGTAAAATTTAACAAACATGTTTTTGTGCTTTATCGAAGTACTGCTGCGATTGCGGGCTCAAATGTCCGGATTTTCTGGCCATGATCTTCTCGACGACTAGGTGTCCATGTAGAAGCATTACAGGGAGCTTTGCGTTTTCAAGGATCTGCAAACGTCCTCCCACCTTTATCAGCTCATCTTCTTTGTCGAAGTACGGGTCTAATTTGAGTATGTGACTGTTGTTGGGAATAGTACCTCCAGTCTTTAACAAGTTGTACTTTGATTGGCAAGTTTCCTGTTGAATCCATCTGATGCACTGCAACTCTGCCTTGTTAATTTCGTCGACTGTTGGCTATGTCTGTGATGGCTTGTTCTTTGTCTTTAGTACATGTATGGCTCTTTGAACGTATGCAGTTACGCGCTTTTATACCTTCAACCATGAGTTATATCGGGTCATGTCAAGTTACGACTTGGATACAACAGCTGCATGGGTATGAACCGCACGCCTTTCTTTATCACACTCCTCGGCCATCTGCCGACCAAGATCCCTCAGCACCTGAGGGTGCGCCTCCCCGTGACGACTCAGCCACGCAGGCCCCTTCCACCACAGCCCACTCCCGGCCATCTCAGAGCAGGAAATCCCACGCATCAATAGATCTGCTGTGTTGTCTTTAGTCGGGCAGTATTTCCAGCATTTAGGTTCACAGAGTTCCACTGTATTTTTGCTACATGATTTGCTACAAATGGTTTCCATAGTGGGCTATTTCGTCTAATCCAATGAAGTGCAACCATGCTGTCGGTGTATACAATCCGATTTGAATTTACTGACCGTGTTTCTGCGACGTATGTCACTAATCTTGCATTTACTACTGCGGCTAGTAGCTCCAGTCGAGGTAATGATACTGTTTTTACCGGTGCTACTCTTGATTTAGACATTACAAGCTGTGTAGTGATGTTTCCACTTTCATTTGTGATACGAATGTACACAGCAGCTCCGTAAGCCTTAGGTGATGCATCTCTAAAGCCGTGTACTTCAACTTCTGAGTCTCGCACCAATCCTTCTGCAAAGCGGCGAGGAATGGTGACGTTAGATAACTTTGACAGCTCTAATTGCCATGCAGACCATTCTCTTTGAATGTCGTCTTCTCATGGATCGTCCCAATCTAGACCTCTACGCCAGAGTTCCTGGAATAGTAAATTAACCCTGACAGAGAACGGAGTTATCAATCCTAATGGGTCGAACACTCTAGCAGAGTGACTGAGCATAGTTCGTTTCGTAGGTGAAACACTAGACGTAGTTACTTCTTGTGGCGGCACAAATCTAAAGCAATCTGACTTCAAGTCCCATGAGACACCAAGTGCTTTCGTTGATTCAGCTTGCGTTGTGAGATTGACGATGGACGACGATTCCTTCTGTTCAGTTTGTGTGCTGTCCAACACTTGTTGCGAGTTACTTGCCCATTTCGTTAGGTTAAATCCTGCAGCCATCATTATAGTTGTCAGTTCATTCTTCAATTCTAGGGCAGATTCATCTGTTTCTGCTCCTGTCAAACAGTCATCCACATACATATTGTATAAGAGTTATCTTGCAGCTCTTGGGCATGTGTCAAGATAACCAGTAACGTGTGCATGGATTGTTGCAATTGCGAGAAATAGGCTACAATTAAGTCCAAATGCCAGTCTCTTCATTCTGTATATGCGAAGTTCTTTATCCGAGTTTCTCCATAAGTAACGGTGTACATCTTGGTCGGGCTTTGCGACTTTAATTTGCAGAAACATCTTTTCAACGTCCGCAAGTAGACCGATCTTGTGTGTACGGAAGCGTATGAGAACTGACGCTAGATCTGGTTGTAGGGCGGGGCCAGGCAGAATACAATCGTTGAGAGACACATCTTGTTCATCCTTTGCTGAGGCATCGAAGACGATCCTACATTTAGTTGTAGTCTTATCATCACGAAATACTGCATGGTGTGGTAGGTATCTG